TGCTCTGCCCCCTGGGGTGCCAGCTGCTGCAGCTGGCCTTGGGCCACTCCTGAACAGGGGAGAAGCAAAAGGGGCCTCAGGGATGGGACTGGTACCTTCCCCCAGGTGGTCGGGAGGCTTCCGCTGCCTGAGAGGTCCCACCACCATGTGTTCTGGGGCACTCGTGGCTCCTGGGTGGACAGGGCAGCAAGATGGCTGGTGGCCTGCTCCATGCATGAGGCCATGTGCTCCATCACTGTGGTGAGGGAGGAGCACATGGCCTCATGCTGGTGTTGCAGCTGGTCCCAGGCAGCTGCCTTCTGCTCCAGGTCAGCACCCCCTCTCCTTGTGCTCCTCTTTGAGCCCCTGGACAGGGGACTGCAGGCCATAGACAGGGTGTCTTTCTCAGCCAGGGGCCATGTCAGTGAGGGTTTGTTTTTTTATTTTTGCTTCTCAGTTACGTGCGGCCCAACACAAAAAAGCCCCTTCCTCCCCTCCCCTTTAGCTCATCCCTGATTGATGTCTATCCAACCTGCTCTTAAATATCTCCAGTGACTGTTAAAAACAAATATGGTTTAAATGCTCGGGGCTGTGGAGAAAAGCCTGACGCCGAACAGAATCAGAACCTACATTTCTTACAGATTCTTTACACATTTGCCTGTTTTGAAGGCAACCCCTGCAGCTGGGGAGGGAGGGCTACACTCAGGATAGGCCTGCAAGTGGTAATATCACGATTTTGGAAAGTGGCACCAGCCCCTGAGTTTATTTGGAGCTGGGTTGCAAACACTGCTACTCAGTATAGTACACAGGCAGCCCGGCCCAGGCCTGCTCGCTGGGGCAGTGTGTGGCCCTAGGCAAGCGCATCCCTCCAACCAGGGAGGGAGGCCCAGTATTCCCATTCCCTGTGCCTACAGGACGCGGCCACTAGGTGGCGCGACTGCCGCCTTCGGCGGGAGCGGGGGGGGGCTCTCGCTTCCCGTAGTTCGCAAGATGGCGGCGGTCGGGGACGTGCCCGTCCGGGTCTGTAACCAGGAAATTGTCAAATTTGACTTGGAGATTAAAGCGGCGGTGCAGGTAGCGTTGTCCGCACGCGCCGGGCCCCTTTCCGGCGCCCCCGCGGCACCTCCCTGAGGAGGGGTAGCGGCCTCTCCCCCTCCCGTGTGTGGCTCCCCCGGGCCCAGGGCCCTGCCCGCCTGCTCCGCTCGGGGGTCATCTCTGGAGGCTTTCCCCCCCGCCCGGCCTTCTGCCCCCTTTCCGGTAGGCGGGGATCGCTCGTGGGCAGCTGGGCTCATTCGGGGCGGTGTTTGCGCCTCTTCCCAGTCCAGACTCTTCTCCCCCACACCTGGGGCCCGCTCGGGGACCCGGGCTCCCCCGGGCCCAGGGCCCTGCCCGCCTGCTCCGCTCGGGGGTCATCTCTGGAGGCTTTCCCCCCCGCCCGGCCTTCTGCCCCCTTTCCGGTAGGCGGGGATCGCTCGTGGGCAGCTGGGCTCATTCGGGGCGGTGTTTGCGCCTCTTCCCAGTCCAGACTCTTCTCCCCCACACCTGGGGCCCGCTCGGGGACCCGTGTCTCTGTGCACCTCTCCGCCCCGGCCACGTCCCTTCCCGGCGCTGCAGAGTCGGCAGTTAGGAGCGGGCAGGTGCTTACGTGGAAGGGCAGTAAAAATCTGAGTTTAATTCTCTGGTGCTTGGCTAACTAATTTTCACAAACTTGACCAGCCCTGCCCCACTAAAAGGCTAATACAGCAGTACAACGCCACTGGCTGAGTTTCTGTGCAGTGCAGCGGTTTTTTCAAACTGCTTTGTGACCTCATTGTAATGGGGTTGCCAGGGTGGATGTTAGGTGTGGTGGGGCTTTGGGCCAAAACCCAAGTTCTGCAGCCTGGGGCCTAATCCAAAGCCCAACAGCTTCAGCCCTTTATGGTGAGGCTTAGGTTACAGGCCCCTTGCCTAGGACTGAAGTCCTGGGTCTTTTTTAGCCTTCTCCTCCCATCCAGGGTGGCAGAAGTTGGGTGGGCTCATTTTTCATCCGCTTCGCCCTCCCAGCCACATGTAATAATTTTTGTTGTCAAAAGGGAGTCACAATGCAATGAAGTCTGCCTAGTGTAATGGGCTCTGTGTTATGGTTTTTTCCACTTTTATAACATAATAGTGATAGGCTACGTCTAGACTGGCATGATTTTCCGCAAATGCTTTTAACGGAAAAGTTTTCTGTCAAAAGCATTTGCGGAAAAGAGCGTCTAGATTGGCACGGAAGCTTTTCCGCAAAAGCACTTTTTGCGGAAAAGTGTCCGTGCCAATCTAGATGCGCTTTTGCGCAAAAAAGCCCCGATCGCCATTTTCGCGATCGGGGCTTTTTTGCGGAAAACAAATCTCAGCTGTCTACACTGGCCCTTTTGCGCAAAAGGACTTTTGCCTGAACGGGAGCAGCATAGTATTTCCGCAAGAAGCACTGATTTCTTACATGAGATCGTCAGTGTTCTTGCGGAAATTCAAGCGGCCAATGTAGACAGCTGGCAAGTTTTTCCAGAAAAGCAGTTGCTTTTGCGGAAAAACTTGCCAGTCTAGAGACAGCCACCATGTTTATATAAAATCTGAACGTGAGACCCCATGTTAATCTTTAATCACACTGCAAACATTCAAATTCCTCACAAGTGAAAAAGTCCTGTTTCTTCCTGTATCTCATTCAGCAGAAATACCCTGCGCCTTCTCAAAAACTAATTAAATAAATAATAAACATATTCAATTGCATTACCAATCTACAGCTCTTACTCAAGCATGCTTGTGGTGTATGTTATTTCTTTTAGGATATCAGGGATTGTCAAGGACCCTTAAATGTGCTTACAGAACTGAATGCCAAAGTAAAAGAAAAGTTTCAATATTTACGTCTCAGAATACAGGTGAGGTACAACATGTGTCTCACTACAAAAATGAGCTGCTGATTGGCAAAAGCAAGACTATTAATGGTGCTTGTAATAGGATTTAATTGGGTTTTCCAGAGACATGGAAGTCTGCATTCCCGTGTGTTAGGTAGAATTAAGGTTATACCAGGGTGACACTACAGTACTAATGTCTTGGAGACATTTATTAGCTATAATATTGAGTATTTCGAATTGCTTATGTATTGTGTAAGATAATTAAAAATAGTAGTCTCATTCCACAAGTATGTGTCTTGCAAATATACTTTCTCTGATAATTGATGGCATCTAAGCTGACAAGTTCTGCAGAAATGAAATGTACAACGGTAACCTTTTAAATGGACTGACACTTGTAGCTTTCTCTAAAATCAGCAGAAGGAAACTGACATGATTCTTATCACTTCCATTGTTGCCAATAGTCTGCTGAAAAGCAGCAATAAGTTGACCTTTGAGTCTAATTTGTTGATTCTCACTGCTCTCTATTCTTTGGCGTATGAGAGAGGGTTGATTGTTGTCTGGTTACTGGGGACTAGGGATGTTAAAAAACAGTTGTTATTGTAACTGTGTAGCCTCTAAAACTTTTAGGAGTTATATGCTGGCTCCCTGGGAATGGGGCCGGCAGCCAGTGTGCTTCCTGCTGCCAGCCCCACTCCTGGGGAACAGGCTACCACCCTGCACTGCATACTCTCATACAGAGTCAGTTCCTGGCATGTACCGGCTCCCACCTGCTGGCCTGCTCCCAGGAAAGTGGTTGCCACCTTTGATACAGAGGCAGCAACGTGAGCTGGTGTGCGCTGGGACCCAGATTTTAAGCCGGCTCGCTACTTGTACTGATTTAGAGGCAGCAGCACGGGATGGCAGTCAGCCTCCCTGGAGCCAGTGTGTGTTGGGAGCTGGCTTTTAAGCTGGTTCCCTGTGTGTACCAATTCCACCTGCCAACCTCTGCTGCTGCCTCTGTATCAGAGGCAGCAGCATGGGGCAGCAATCGACTCTCTGGGAGTCACACTGGGAGCTGGTGTGTAATTGTTTGGGTAACCAATATGCTCATGCTTATCGGTTATCCATGTAAATGAATACACTCTTTGGGGGTCCTTTGGGGGCCTTTCAGAGTCATTCTAAACTACCTAGATTCAAACCAAGGGTATCAGCAATATCAAATTAGCTGCTAATTTACTGAATTAGCTACCCTCTCTAGTTGAGAAAAACATAATACAGGCTGAAACTCTAAAATCTGGTATTCTCTAGTCCAGCAACAAATGTGGTCAGGCAGAATTATGGATATTGCTGGACCAGAGAGCTCGGCTGGGAGTGGGGGCAGCCAGGGTCAGAAGTGGAGCTCTGGCCAATGACAGCAGAGCCAGAGGCTGGGCGCACTGCCCAGGCCGGCAGTGGGGAGCTCAGCCCTGGCGTAAGCTGATGGCAACGGTGCCAGCATGGCTGGGAGTGTGGGGCTGGCGGCGGGGAGTTCAGTCCTGGATAGGGCTGGGAGCAGAGCCCAGTGGCCAGGGCTGGCACCCAGGAGAGGGGCTTATGGCTGGGAGGGGAGCCTTGACCTCCCTTGCTCCACAAAACTCCTTGGTTCCTGACAGTTCCAGAACAAGGCAGTCCAACCTGTAATTGTAAATTGTATCACACCTTATGCTTCGATTTTAGTATATCTGCTTTTATATCAAAGGAGCTTGAGCAGATGGCCAAGGAACAAGATAAAGAATCAGAGAAACAAGCTTTACTCCAAGAAGTAGAGAACCATAAAAAACAAATGCTCAGGTAGGTAAAGATGATGGCAGTATGTACAGACTCTTCAGTTAATCATACACACTTTTTACAAAAGTGGTTGAGCATCATTGCCCTCATTTTACAGATGGATTCTCGCAGGTGAAGTGACTTGCAAAAGGTCACAGAATAAATGAATGATAGAGTCAGTACTAAAACTCGGATCTCCTAAAGCACTGTCCCTTGTTCTAGTTCAGTGGTCACCAACCAGGAGATCAGGATCTACTGGTAGATCTTGGAGCCTCTGACAGGTGATCTTGACTGGTTTGGCCAAGAGCCTATCAAGTGCCAGCACTTCAGCTGCCCCTTCCCCCATTGCTGCTCAACTCCTGCCCTTTCCTTGGAGCTGCCCCTCCCCTGGGGAGCCTCCTGCTTTCTGGGCAGGGAGAGGAGGGGCGCTGATATCAAGATGCCCTCTCCCACTCTGTATCCTTTCTCCACAAAGCAGAGAGGGACACAGCAGGACTTGGGATGGAGTTTGCTGGCTGCTTTTGGGAGTGGTGCAGGGCCAGGGCAGGGGTGAGCCTGCCTTAACCCCACTGTACCACCAACCAGGAGCCACCTGAGGTAAGCAATGCCCAGCTGGAGCCCATATCCCGAAACTCTACCCCAGTCATGATATCTCTCCTGGACCCCAAGTCCGTGCCCTAGACCCGAGCGCTCCTGCATCCCAACTGCCTGCCCCAAGAGCAACTCAGAGCCCCTCTCACACTCCAGACCCCTTAATCCAAAACCAGAACCTGCACCCCAACTCTCTGCCCCAGCCAGATGAAAGTGAGTGAGAATGGGTGAGAGAGGGAGGATGGAGGTAGCAGGGGTGGGACCTCGGAGAAGGGGCAAGTGTAATTTATATTTGAGGTAGATCTTGGATTGCACTTAAATTCAAAAAGTGGTCTTGGGCTTAAAAAGGTTGAAGACCACTGTTCTAATCTCTCAATTGTGTTTTATGGATATTACCTTTCTGTCAAATTGAATGGTTTTTGAATAGTTATTCCTGATGAAATTCAGTACAGGAATGCTGTGTTCCCTCTAACATTTCCCACCCTTGGGTAGGCTGAATTTTCCTTTGGGTGGGTTGAAATTTCTTATGTGCACCACCAATATTGAGGTGGTGTGGATGTGCAATGTGTCCCGTACAAAGAACCTAGGTAGAAATATATATTTTAAACAGTCCATAGGTATGGAAGACATATTAAAACAAGGAATAATTAACAAGGAGCAATGCTTAAGATGTTTGTTTAATATGAAATCTAATAAAGAAATCTAACACTACCCTTGGAGTACATATATTATTGTCCTGGTTTGAAACTTGCACCTTATGTGTGTCATTAACTCAAAGCATAGAAGCCCCCAGAACACTTCCCAATTGAAAGGCCAAACAAATTAAACAGGATGCATAGTAAAGTTCTTGTAGTTTTAACAATTTACCATGTATTAACTAGTGACACAGAATTTAAAAAAAATCATTAAGATCAGAGTGCGATATCTACAACACTAAAAAAAATTCAGTTAAAATAATCCTTTCCTTTCCTTTCTTACCTTAAGCTAGTAACACCCATGTAAACTTTGTTTGAAATGTACTCATGCAAATGTCGTGAGCTAGGCCTTTTGTTCCAGTATTCAAAAGCAGTCTAAAAGCTTTTAACCCACCTGAATTTTTGGCACCACCCCATACAGCCTGCTCTAGTCCATGAGAGAGTCCTATGTCTGCAGCCCAACTAGGGCTGCTGTGCTGAGACAGACACAGTCTGCAGTCCAGTTTGCTGCCTGCAGTCCAGACAGGAGCAAATTAAGTCACTCCCAAAAAACTCCCCTCTGACCCCATCTCACTGCATCCATCTCCTTATTTCCCCCACCTATTCCCATGCAATCTGCTCCCCCCAAGCCCTGCCCAGGAGAGAGTCCTATGTCTGCAGCCCACCTAGGGCTGCTGTACTGAGGCAGACAGGGTTTGACTCTTTGGCTGTGTCTAGACTACATCCATCTTTCAACAGAGGGATGTAAATTAGACATGTCGAAATTGCAAATGAAGTGGGGATTTAAATATCACGTTTCATTTGCACAATTGCGTAATGGCGCTCTTTCAAAAAAGCGCCATTTTGAAAGTAAAACCACAGTCTAAATGCAGTTCTTTCGAAAACCTCATTTTTTGAGGTTTACAGGATCTTTCGAAAAAGCCTGCCATTTTCAAAAGAACTGCATCTAGACTGCAGTTTTACTTTTGAAATGGCGCTTTTTCGAAAGAGCACCATTACGCAATTATTACAAATGAAGCACTGGATATTTAAATCCCCGCTTCATTTGCAATTTCGATGTGTCTAATTTACATCCCTCTGTCGAAAGAGGGATGTAGTCTAAACACAGCCTTACTGCCTGCAGTCCAGATGGAAACAAGTTAAGACATTCCAAGCAAAACTCCCCTCTGTCCCCACCTCACTGCATAAACTCCAGTGCCACCCCCATTTCCCTCACGTACTCTATGCAGTTTGCTCCCTCTTTCCCAGATCCAGGAAGCTAGAGGAGCGTGCTGGGTTTCCTCACAGGAAGCTGTAGGCAAACCCAGGGGTTGTAATCAGATCTATGTAATCAAACCTCTCCTCTCCAATACTTACTGCATGCTCCAAACTCCCCTCCCTATTTGTCCCCTCCCATCCCAGCCGCGTATTTACTCCCTCGCTCGCTCCTTCTTATGTCCCCTTCCCCACCAGCATGCTCTGCTCGTAGTCTGGAGCAGGGAGCTTCTGCTGCTGAGGGAATGCCCCTCCCCAGCCAGGAAACTCCCTGTGCAGTAGCCCTAAATCTCTGGGCAGGGCTCAAGTAGCAGCTGTGTGGCCGTCCTGCCACGCAGCTTACAGATAACTTAGCAAGAATGGAATATAACTAGATTTTCAACAACTTGCATGATATTCTTCCTCGCTGTCCTCTCTGAGGTAGGGATTTAAAATCCCATTTAATTAGTAAACTAGTTAAACATTGTTTAACTGATTAGCCGATTAAACGTGGCAGGTGGGATGGGGTGCAGCTGGGCTGGAGCAGCCTCCATGCCCCACACGTGCTCCAGCCCCCACCAGTTAAGTGTAACTGGTAAGTCTCACCCGTGAAGAGTGGGGCTTACCAGTTAACCATTCACATCCCTATACAGAAGAGGAGAAATGGATGAGGGAATGGGTTATTTCTACACCTAGCATGATGTAGAAGTATGTAAAAATAATTTACAAAATATATCCTATATGTTGATTGTTACGGATAAGTATATGGGATTTTGTTGAGGTGCAGTATTTATTTGTGCCCAACTAACGTGTGACTATCTGGGCTGTCACATAAAAAATGTTCTAGCTTTGCAAGCAGTCACTATCATTCTAAAAAAGCGTTTCTTGAAGTGTGTTGGAGGCAGTCGGAGGTGTGCTGTGGAGAAAACAGATCAAAATGGCCACCCTTAAAGGGACAAACCTTTTTTTTTCTCAACAGCTTTTACCTGGGGGCTTTTTTTTTTCCTCAACAAAAAAAATCCTTGATGTTTCCCATAAAAAAAATTATTGTTTAGTGTTTCTCTGTCTTAAAAACTATAAGAAACACTGTTCTAAACCATTGTGCACTTATGATTTCAGCAATCAGACAGCTTGGAGAAAGGCAAATCTAGCTTGCAAAATGGCTATAGACAACTCTGAGAAAGATGAACTGCTGCAAGGAGGAGACCCATTACGACAAAGGTACTATATCTTTCCTTTGTAATTAGAGAATTTAAACAATAGATGCTGTGTATCCAGTTGTTCTAAAAATAACTAGTAACACAACGTGTGTGTGCACATACACGTGTACTGTAAATTACATGTTTCCATTTAGAAAGTAGGTCTTTTATTAACACCTTACCTTTTTCATAGATAAAGGTGTGGTTGATTTGTAATATTCAGTTAAACTACATTCTCCTATGTTCAACTTGTTAGGAAGGAGGAGCATGTTAGACTGTTCCAAAGTTTGTGAGGTTCATATCAAGTATATCATAAAGTACAAGTTATAAATCTGTCTGTGATCCATATTTCACACCAAAATGAATTGTTTTATATAGTTTATGAATTAAATACTTGTCTTATTTAATCAAGGAACATCAAACTGGATATAAATGGTAATAAAGCAGTGGCTTACATCAGTTTCTCCATATTGTGTCATGAAATTGTGTAGTTGTGGATCAGTGTCTGATGACACATAGACCCCTTCTCTCAGCCACTGCATAGTAGCTGTGTAAGGGGTTGCTGCTCTAAAATTCAGTTACTTAGAGATTTGATGAGGATTTTGTTAGGGATGTAATAGTGTAACTGTTTAAACGGTTAACAGAGAAGCATGAGTTATCGGTTAGCATAACGGTTACACACCAGCTTTTGTCCCCGCTCCCGGGGAGCTGGCTGCTGCCTCATGCTGCTGGCTCTGTGGGTGGGGCAGCAGCCGACTGCTGCTTTCCATCCCGCACTGTGGTCTCTGCAGTATAAAGCTTATACTGCAGAGTCCACAGTGCAGCCAGTTCCCTGAGAGTGGGACTGACAGCCAGGCACCGCCTTAGCATGTAACCGCTAAGATTAACCACTTTTTAATCTCCCTAGATTTTGGGTGCACACACAAATCTACTACTTCATTTGAATGAGCATGCTAGAACAATATGTTTCTGTGCTTTGTACATCTGAAGGCAGCTACGGTTGGTACCAAATTCCAGCTTTAAATGCCCCGTTACATTCAGGAGCAGGAAGCATTGAACACCCCAGAGATGTGATTTTATTCCTTGCTATTTTATTTTTCCTTTCTTCTTTTAGAAAAACCACAAAGGAAAGTCTGGCAGAGAATGCGAGTAAAATTACAGAGAGCCTGATGGGCATTAGCAGGATGATGTCTCAGCAGGTCAAGCAGAGTGAGGAGACCATGCAAACTCTGGGTATAGATGCAACCCAAATCTTTGTTTATGCATTATAAGGATTTGATGGCAGCAGGTTTAAAACAAACAGAAGGAGGTACTTCTTCAAACAACACAGTCGATTTGTGGAACTCACTGCCAGGGGATATTGTGAAGGCCAAAACTATAACCGAGTTTAAAAAATAATTAGATAAGTTTATGGCAGATAGGTCTATCCATGACTATTTTCCAAGGTGGTCAGGGATGCAACACTATGCTCTGGGTGTCCCTAGCCTCTGATTGCCAGAAGCACCTGATATTGGCCACTGTTGGAAGACAGGAGATTAGGGTAGATAGACCATTAGTCTGACTCAGTATATCTGTTCTTATGTATAGGGTAACTACTCTAGTCTTTAACGTCTGGAGATAGTAAATACAGACTCTTCATTTTTAGAGCAGAATGATACTCTATTCCAACTAGGGATGTAAAATCCTGCTTAACTGGCTAACAGGTTAAACATATTGTCTGATCGTTTAACTGATTAAAAGGGAGGTGAGTGGGGGGACTGGCTCTTACTACATTTAAAAAGCAGAGTCGCAGTGAACCCACTTATCAACTAATTCAGTAGTCAATGAAAATTCCATTGATTACTCGATTAGCTTACTATTTAACATCCCTAGCTGGGACACTGGACACCGTTAATGGTAGTGCTTACCAGTTAAACCTTCACATTCCTAATTCTAACAGGTGATTCTTCCAAGATTTTAGTGAGGCAAATAGACAGGGTGCAGTGGAAACTCGCATTGCTGCTGTCCATGATGAACTTATTTTGCAGATACATAGAGGACTTCTGATTCAGGACTCCATCAGTGCCTGTCACCAGAACTAACATTTTCACACAAAACAGAGGCTGTGGCTTGGAGTTGTGTTTCAAACCATCTTCCTGACCAGAGTTCCCTCTAAGCTGCATGGCTGTGCAGCTCCCTAATAAGCCCAGTGTAGGGCTGCCACCTGTGGGGCTGCTGCAGCTGGAGAAGGGCCTCTCTGTGGCTGCTGCAACTCCCTGCTGGGACCAGAGTAGAGATGTAAGCAAGTAGTCGAGTACTCGACTACCCGATAAGGCTAAGCTTCTTGGGCAGTCGAGTAGAGTACTCTACTCTCTTCCCCCCTCCTTGCTGCCTCTGTATGAGTGGCAACAAAGGGGGTAGGGGGGGAAACAGGAGCTGGTGCAACCTGTCTCCCCTCCCCACTGCTTCTGTTAGAGGCAGTGGGGGGGAGCAGTAGGCTGCCATGGACAGGGACTGCTGGAGCCGGTGCGAGCTAGGACCAAGCAGTCCTGGCTCATGCTGGTCTGGAGCCACTGTGGTTTGCATTTTAAATGTAGTAAGAGTCGCCCAGCTCTTAATACATTGAAAATGCAGAACCACAGCGGCTGGGGGCGGGCCACTGGCTCCAGGAGCTACCCCCGCTGCAGTTCTGCAGAACAGCTCCTCCTATTGACTAATTGTGTAGTCAATACAAATTGTATTGCATTTTAGCTCCTCCTATTGTATTATCTCCTCCTATTGACTAATCGTGTAGTCGATACAAATTGTATTGACTATGCGATTAGCCAAATAACCGCTCCTTAACATCCTTAGACCAGAGCAGCTCTCTGCTGGGGCTGGAGGAGTGTGCCTCTCTCCTGGACGTTGCAGCTCTCTGCTGGGGTTGGAGGAGCATTCTTCTCCCCTGTCCATGTCAGTTCCTTGTTAGGGCCAAAGGAAAGATGTGCTCTGTGGCCTGAGCAGCGAGGCCAGTTTAAGAAAGGGGTTTAGTGGCTGCAGCCAAAGCTCTAGCTGCCTTTCCTTCCCTGCCAGCTGGAGTTGCATCACCTCAATCATCGGGAACTCTGTCCCAATGCTATTCTCACCTGGAGGTTCCCATCCCACAGTTCCCATTGGCTGTGGTTCCCAGCCATTGGGAGCTGCGGGGGCAGGGCCTGCAAATGAGTGTGGGTCACACAGAGCTACCTGTTCCCCACCACACATCAAATGGTAAGCCCAGGTAAAGACCCACACTCCAGTCACTCCTCCCCAGACCGCGCTCCTTAACCCTGAGCCCCCTCCTGTACTCTGTCTCCAGCCCAGACCATGCACCTTCACCCCAGGCTCCTGCACTCCAAATTCCTTGGCTGTCTCCTAGAACTCCCTCCTGCACTTCAAATACCTCATCCCCAGCCTGATCTCAGAGCCTGCACCCTAGCCAGAGCTCTCTTACATTCTGACCTCTCAGCTCCACCCTCATCACAGATCATCCATGTGCAGAATGAATTTTGTCATGTGCACTAGGGATGTAAAGTCATTTGAAAAGGTAACTATGTAACAGCTAAAATCTTAGTGGATACATGCTCTGTGGGCTCTGCAGTATGAAGCTTAGCTTTATACTGCAGAGCCCACAGCGAAGCCCCCTGGGAGCAGGGCCTCCCCACTCCTGGGATGGCTTCGCTGTAGGCTCTGCAACCGCTTCCTGGGAGGGACTGGCAGCCCCTGCTGGCCCCACTCAAGTAGAACCACAGTGTGTAACTTCTGGCGGGGGGGAGGGGGGCGGTGCCAGGCTGGGCCACCATGGACAGGGGCTGAAGGCCGGCTGGAAGCTGTTCCAGCCCTTATTGGTTAACCAGAACCAGTAAGCCTTGCATGTTAAGGGTGAGTCAACCTTTTACATCTCTAATGTGCACCAATATGGAGATGGTGTGTGACTCATATTAGCAAACATGACAAAATTAATTCTTGACATAGATGTAAAAAATTACAGAGACCATCACTCCTGACTGGTGGCAAGTTTTGTAATATAGTCTAAGAATGACAAGAAAGAGTAAGAAGCTGATTAGAAACTTTTGGTTTTGGGTAAAACCTTTTCTATGATAGGATATCACTGGCATTCCACAGCAAATTTGATGGGAAAGCAACATGTCTGGCAAGTGTTTGTCAGGGACAGATTGCCATTATTGTATAATATTTTCCTAGAATACATGGTACAGTATCAAAGAAATATGAAAATACAGTGTGTAGGTCTGGCTGTATAAATAGAGACACATAGTCACACACAGAAGAAAGTTTAACATGGATACCGAAAGATAGTCAACCCAGCTGGAGGGCTGGGTAAAAGCTAAGGCAGGAGGAGATCAAGTGATTTGTACCCAAAGTCACATGCTGTGTCAGTAATACATTTAAGAAACCAGGATTTGACCAGCTCTTTCCTTTAGACCCTAAAACAATAAATCAAGTGGGCTGTCAAAATTGGCGATTCATGAACTGTTTAGGAGTTGGATGTATGCCAGCTGGGTCTCATATTTGCTGTGCTCAGAAAAAAAGAGAGTGGGGGTTTAAAGAATAGTTATATAATGCAACTTTCTCCTCTTCACTATCTACCCCATTTGGGGATAGCAGCTGTGCACAGTTCCTGCGTGCAGAAAAAGTATGTTTCTTTTCCTTTCAAATAAGACAGTTTTGACAATCACTCTGTCACCCATTTTCTGGCTGACTACTGCTTACAATCTGTCGGGGAAGAGCTATCAAAGATCATCTGCTTTAAGAAAACCAGCTGTGGATTTTGATTCTGTAGTTAGAATTCTAACTTATAAAAAATAACAGTACTTTTTCCAGTATTTGATTGTAAAGCAGGGAAGCCATTCTTTGTCACTAACCATGGGAAACAAAAACATTTGGCTTAAGGACCTTTTTTTAAGGATAGGACATCAGAATTTATGATATGATAAATGATTATAATACTTCTTTCATAAGATACCACATGATCCTATGAGTGGTAGTTCTGCTCAAGGTAGTTAAGACCAAAGCACACTGTGAAGAGTTTCAAAAAGATCTCACCAAACTAAGTGATTGGGCATCAAAATGGCAAATGACATTTAATGTTGATAAATGTAAAGTAATGCACATTGGAAAAAATAATCTCAACTATATATACAATATGATGGGGACTAATTTAGCTACAACTACTCAAGAGAAAGATCTTGGAGTCATTGTGGCTAGTTCTCTGAAAACATCCACTTAGTGTGTAGCGGTAGTAAAAAAAAAACAAATAGAATGTTAGGAGTCATTAAAAAAGGGATAGAGAATAAGACAGAGCATATCTTATTGCCTCTATATAAAACCATGGTATGCCCACATCTTGAATACTGCATACAGATATGATTGCCTCATCTCAAAAAAGATATATTGGCATTGGAAAAGGTTCAGAAAAGGGCAACAAAAATTATTAGGGGTTTGGAACAGGTACTATATGAAGAGAAATTAAAAAGACTTGGACTTTGCAGCTTAGAAAAGAGGAGACTGGGGGGGGGGGGGGTGTGAAAGGGGTATGATAGAGGTCTATAAAATCATGACTGGTATGGATAAAGTGAATAAGGAAAAGTTATTTACTTATTTCCACAATAAAAGAACTAGGGGTCAACATGAAATTAATAGGCAGCAGGTTTAAAACACACAAAAGGAAGTTTTTCTTCACTTAGCACACAGTCAACCTGTGGAACTCCTTGCCAGAGAATGCGGTGAAGGCTAGAACTTTAACAGGGTTCAAAAAAGAACTAGATAGATTCATGGAGGTTAGGTCCATCAATGGCTATTAGCCAAGATAGGTAGAAATGGTATCCCTAGCCTCTGTTTTTCTGGAGGTGGGTGACAAGGGAGGGATCACATGAGACTTACCTATTGTGATCCCTCCCTCTGGGGCATCTGGTATAGGCCACTGTCGGCAGACAGGATAGTGGGCTAGATGGACCTTTAGTCTGACCCAGTCTGGCTGTTCTTATGAGTGAACAGCACATTTGAAGTTTGACATTTATTTATTCATTTAGTTCTGTATAAATTCAACTGCGTTTTCCCAATTACAGGATGTGGATTTTGTAATGCAAGAGAATGGAGACCTTGGCTTGTTTTTCATCATATAGTAATTTGAAGAGAGAACTGTTTTGCAAAAGCACAAACTGAAAAGCCCCTACGTGCAGTGCCATTATTTTGGCATAGACTCAAACTCTTTGTTCAATGAGTCCTGCTAATACCCTGACCCCCCCAAGATTAGAATTTTTGCAAAGAAATTATACACTTTAAAAAGAGAAAGCCAAATGTTAGAAAGTTTGGAAGTGAACCCTTACAGGATCCGTTGAGGTCTTTACTGCTCCATCATTCATTGCTCTCCCTGAGTTCCATTGAATACTGTCCTCAGAGTATTCAATAGATACTCAGAGGGGTACTTCTAGTGCTTAGGGAACAATTTGGTTTCCATGACCATATTCAGGTGCTGTCCCACACTGAAGTTGCCAGTAAAAGTGCCGTTTGTGATGACAGTTTCTCTCCAATAAGAATGAAGCCAAATTCACCAAAATTGTTTCAGATAGGCCTCAACAAGCAATGACTTGTTTTGTCAAAAGGCAATTGACCTGAACTAAATTAGATGATCCATTAGTCTAAAAATGAATGGTGCCATATCCTGTTACCAAATCTGTAAACCACGGAGCCCTCTAATTTATTTTGCTTTCTGTTCTTTACCAAGGCATATTATGGCTCCTTTGTGGTGAAAGATTCTTCAGGAACATGAACTACATTCATGTTACCACTAGTCAGCTAACCCATAGGGGTATCACTAGTTGTAGTTTCCTTTTTGCATGTTTCCTTTGTAAGATGTTTGGAAGGAATGCAGCTGAAACTTTACACTTTCTCATTGCAGCCAATTCTTCACGAACCATCCTGGATGCGAATGACGAATTTAAGTCCATGTCGGGGACAATACAGTTGGGACGAAAGCTCATTACAAAATATAACCGCAGGGAACTGACAGATAAGCTACTCATTTTTCTCGCTCTGGCCTTATTTTTGGCCACTGTGCTCTACATCCTGAAAAAGAGACTTTTTCCATTTTTGTAAAATTCCAAAGTATGTCGACTACCAAATATGAAAGACCAGAAAAGAAGATGGGGTAATTATAATGAGGTTCAGCGTAACTGGGATCTAATGCTGTTCTAGCTGAAAGAGGGTTAAAGCAGACCCGTCTTTATATTGTATAAATGGAGTACAATATCTGGCTAAGCAAACATGCTTGCACAGGTAGGTGCAGGAGCAGAAAGAATGAGGTGGACAGAAGTAACATGCATTTTTCTGCTGTGTTAGGGAAACAGACAAGCACTTGGTGATCCAGACACTCCCAGACAGATGCCAGTCTTAATCTTCAACCCCTCTCCCATCTCAGCATGAAATAACCTGTTACCTAACAACCTGATCAAAGGGTGACTTATGAGCTATATGTAAGGTGTTGAGAATTAAGCTGAGGATTGTGAGGAGAGAAAAGAAGACGGAAGCAAATAAACAAAAACTCAAACTTAGATACATTCCTTTAATAAACTATTTATTGTATGTGTATAAATTGAGTCTTATTTAAAAGGAGAAATTACACCTGGATTGAAGAAAACAGTGTACATACAATATGCATCTTACTTTAAAATTGACTCTGCCTTTGACTTACAAAGATAGTTACTACAGGAGTGGAATGAAATAAGTGGTTTTAGAATGAAAACTGTTATGTCACCATTTCACAAAGTGTGTTCCAAAATTCAGACCTGTAGTATGGGAAATAAACCTTGTGCTTTCTTGAGGCCAAAGTTACTCTGTTTCTTTGAGAATGTAGTTCAGATACTTGCTGTGGTTTCATTTCAGGTCTGCACTTGGAGGGCTTCAGTTGATATTTGGGTAGAAAGGCCCATTGCCTTGATTCAGCACAGCTTTGTGATGCTGACATTTCCTCATTGCTGGATGGAAAAATTCCTGCTAAGCTGTTGCTATAAGAGGCACAGGAATGTATTACGTATTAGCAATTCCTAAGGAATACTGTGGAGTTACAAACAGGAGAGTTCAGTGGAGGATACAAAAAGAACTTAGGGAAAAAAAGCATTTCCTAACATGAACCCTAAAGACCACTCACAGTAGATCTTTGGTCATCATTGCATCTCTTGAAATTTAAAAAATAATTTTGTATTGATCAGAAAACCCAAGTACAAACAAAAGCCTCTATTATAGCTCTTACGGGTGCAATATTTTATTAAAAGCACATTGTTAAGGAAATTTTTCTGTAGTCTTTTGTCTTAGTTTCCCTTTATACATTTCCTCTTTACATCTTCAGAGTGCTGCCAACTTGTACATTTGAAAATGTTTCTTCCTCCTACATTTTGACCTTTTTCGATGGGCAAACTTGAGTTGCCTTACCCTGGGCTGTGTTTTGAATGGAGTTGAAATAAACCTGCCTGTTTGGTTTGTCAACACTATATGCAGTACTCTTGTGTATCACCTTCCTATACCAAAAGAATTGTGAGCTGCATCTTCAACTGATGTCAGTGTAGGTCTAGGGGAATATTTAACTGCTGCCTCAGGAAACCCCTGAAATGCTGTTTTTTGGGTGGGAGGTGTATAAAACTGGTGGCTATTTAGCAGTTACGTTAAATAAAAACCAAGGCCATCCTAGATCGAATCTAGATTCCAGATAAATTTCTGGGTATTGCTACACATACTGGGAGAGTCATGCTGTGGCGATCAATCCCCCAAGGGTCGGTTTAATGGGACCCACTACTAAATTAACTCCCCAGACATGCTCTCATCAATTGGTACTCCACCAGAATGAGAAACAAGAGTATAGACTCACAGCAACTCAGTGTGTGGTACGTCAATTCCAGCTACATTATTCACATAACTGGAGTTGTATACATTAGGTTGATCTTGCCCCTTAGTGTATCCCTGCCCTCCGTATATTAATGGATGACAGTTATTGGGCTAAATTCAGCATGCCATCCCTTTAAATGTTAGGTTCCATTTGGGAAACTTTGAAAGAGGAAGTGGCACTAATTCCTCAAGGTGGACCCATCTTTGTAAAATTCCCTTACCAATCTTACCAGCTGACATAATTCTCCTTCCTCCCCCCCCCCCTTTTTTCCTAACCTGAGGCATGGGTTTGAGTTTGGCAAGAAATAGGGTGAAATGAGGGTGGACCAAAGTATATCCTGATTGAATCATCATCAACAACCATGGGCTCAGCACCCATTGGTGTCCGATGCCTCCCTCACTATTTCCTTCATCTTTCCCTGTCCAGTGTGGAGTGGCTTAGTGTCTGTAGACTAGCTCCACATCAGTCTACTATATCATCTACCCATTCTCTGTGAGGTCTGCCTCTCCTATTTGGACCATCCACTATGCCAAATACCAGGGTCTTAACTTTTCACTCATTCTTCATCCTGCAGATATGGCCGAATAGCTGTAACTTCCGTAGTATAACCTTCTGCAGTAGGTTCCTCTCGAACGCCAATATCCTTCTCTTTGAATCTTTCGTTAGCACCTATGTCTCACATCTGTACAACATGCTGCTAAAACACGTTTTCAAGAGCTCAGCTTCGTTCCTAAGCTAATCGCTTTACTTTTCCAGATCTTATCCCTCGCCTTCAAACTCGCTCTTGCTTTTGCTATTCTAGTCACTATTTCCTTTCTACAGTCTAGATCATATGTCAAGTTGCTCCCCAAATATGTGAACTTCTCTACATTTTCTAGTTCGATCTCATCTACACTGATCTTCCTTCCAATTTCCTTATCTCCAAATAACATTGCCTTTGTTTTACTGATATTCATAATCAGTCCATACCACTTCCCTTCCTCATGTAGCACCTGTACCATTCTCGCTAACTTCTCTTCATCTTCCTCGATGATAACTATATCCCTTCTACCTCTTCATTGATCTTGTCCATCGCTCTTTCTAGGTATGTGATGAAGATACTCAGCGATATCGGATCTCCTTGTCTCGTACCTCTACTTGTTCTAAACCAACATCCCAACTCTCCACACAGTCTCACCGCTGCCTCCGCATTATCATTGACATCCTTCTACAACCATATCAGTCTGCTATCCACTCCGTAAGACTCCAACACTGCCCAAGTCACTTTCTGATCTATACTGTCAAATGCCTTCTGAAAATTGACGAAGCAATTGTAGATGTTCTTTCGCCAAGCTTTCTCCGCTATCAGTCTTAGTGCCAATATCTGCTATATGGTACTTCTATCTTTCCTAAATCCCACTTGCTCATCCACTAGATGTTCTATCTGCAATCTCAATCTCTCCATCAGTATCATCATCAGCACCTTGCCTAGATGACTCGTTAAGGCAGTAATTCTATAGTTCTTGCACTCCAACATGCTTCCTTTCTTGTGTATTGTCACTAGCACAGATCTTTTCCATTCCTTAGGTGCCTTGCCTTCTTTCCACACTATATTACATAGTTGATGTATTTCCTGAATCATACTTTCTCTGCCGTATTTGATCATCTCTCCCATGATCTTATAATTTCCAGGGCTCTTGTTGTTCTTTAATCGTTTCACTGCTCTTTCTGCTTCCTCCTTCCTCCTCTAGAATATCGGTCTCGCTCTTGATGCTCGGTGGTGATATCCCTTTCAATTTTTCAGTCAGTCTCTGAGACACTTGGATCCAACTGTGCTTTGTACAGATTGGTACAATATCTCATCCATCACTGCACAACCTTCTCCTTTTTCATGAGCACCTTATCATTCTTGAAACAAAATACAGGACTATGTAGCACTTTAAAGACTAACAAGATGGTTTATTAGCTGATGAGCTTTCGTGGGCCAGACCCACTTCCTTTTGATCTGAGGAAATGGGTCTGGCCCACGAAAGCTCATCATCTAATAAACCATCCTGTTAGTCTTTAAAGTGCTACATAGTCCCGTATTTTGTTTCAGCTACACCAGACTAACACGGCTACATTTCTATCATTATCATCATTCTTGTCTTTGATTGCCATCTACTTTAGCTGCCACTTCCTATTAATATTCCTAATCATCTTATACATCTCCCTGATCCTACACTCGCCGTAATACCTCTCTATATCTTCACACTGCTCTTCTAACCATTTCTCCTTATCCATTCTGACCGCTTTCCTTACCTTGTTGCATTTCACTCTGTATTGCTGTTCCGCCCTCTCTGAGACATCCCTTCTGATCTTCAGTACTCTTTTCTCTTGGACCAACTTCAATGTCTCCTGCATAATCCACTTCTTATTGATCTTCTCTTCTTCCAGAACCGTCTGCTCAATTGCCTCTTTTATCACCGTAGCTATCCCTTCTCTCTTCTCTGTGCCCGCCTTCCTGATCTCTTCGAGCACTGCTCTGTATGCATTCCCTATTTCTTCCTTGTCTAGCCTCACCACATCTCTTCATTTCTTAAACTGTGTCTTATACTTTCTCTTAAGTTTCATCTTGATGTTCGCAATCACTACACTGTGGTCTGAGTCCATATCCACTCCTTGTAAAGTTCAGCACTGTTGTACTGATGTTACCTATTTTCTTCTTATCAAGATCATATCTATCTTATTCTTGAACTTCCCATCATTCGATCGCCATGTCCACTTCCTACAGTTCTTTTGTTGGAATCTCATGTTGCAGAACACCATCTCATGCTCCATAGCAAACTCTAGTAGTTTCTCACCTCGTTCATTTCTTTCTCCATATCCAAACCTTCCCATGACTTTCTCCCAACCTTCGTTATCTGTTCCAACCTTCACGTTCCAGTCTCCTCCAATGATCAACACATCTCTCTTTGGTATCTCCTCCAGCATCTTGGTCAAATCTTTATAGAATAGCTCGATCTCGTCCTCCATGCTGTCTCACGTGGGTGCATACACCTGAACGACTGAGATGTTGAACTGTTTCACTTCAAATCTTGCTACCATCATTCTCACACTCACCAGTTTGCATCCTAACAATGCTCCTCTAGCTGTTTCGCTTTGCTCCCTGACCAAATGACTTTGCAACTGCACATCTCTTTCGATGCCATCTAACAGATATCTGCCAGTCCAAGTATATCACATCGGTATCTCTCCATTTCCTTTTGAAGCAGCTCTAACTTTCCCGTTGCCCACAATGTTCGGACATTCCACATTCCGATTGATAGTATATGTGTTAGTTATAGTTTCCTTATGATTTAAGCCAACACCTAAACACAGCTGCCATGGTGAGCAGGTACTGCCAACATGGTATAGGAGCTAGAATCTTTCATCAGCTCCAAAACTAGAGGCCTCTGGGTGTTGGGAGTTGAAAGATGTGCTAGTCGATCATGGGGGAAAAAGAAGTAATAAATATGCCAGCTGGTCTCCTGTTACATCCAGTAGAGGGCAGTGGTGTGCACACATGTAAGGAGCCTTATGAGGGGACTGATGAAGCAGTTACTGTTTTTCACCCAGTCAAATCTTTTTTGTATCTTATCCGAGGCATTTATACTGCACTTACCTATCTAGTGTAGGGTTTTCTATATTGTCCCTCACTGGGGTAGTTGACTAAAAGCCTCCCAACCATAGCAGTACATCCTCAAATTTT